AGCCCCATGGTTGCCATGGCAGACATGAAGTCCTGAGCCGCTCCTGTGAGGGTCGCCTCGGCATGGATATTGAAGTCTCCCAGCACAGAAGCCGTTGAGACTCCAACGCCAGGCTCGAGACTACCCCCGCTAGCTCAGGTAGGGAGACTGTAGTGCAGCGAGGTGGACGGTACACTAGCAGAATCCCTATTCTGTCCCGGTCACCCACCCTCAGGTGGACACATTCAAAATTTGTGGTCTGCGGGATGGGGCTCCTGGTCAGATGGATGGAATCTCTATAGACCACTGCAACCCCGCCTCCCCGTCCTCCGGATCTCGGTTGGTGCTGTACGGAGAACCCTGGAGGACAAAGCTGGGTAGATTTACGCCTCCAGCTTCATCCAACCAGGTCTCCGTGATGCACGCCAGATCTGCCCGCTCATCCAGGATTAGATCCTGGATAAAGGTCGTTTTTCCGTTGACAGATCTGGCGTTCAACAGCACCACCTTCAATCCGGAGGGCCCGCCAACCTGGTTACACCAATTTACCTTAGGAGACCGGTTTGGGATTATTAATGTAGATAAGCGGTCCGAATTAGGCCGAATTTGAGGTCTCCTTTTTCCGCATCTCCCCCTCCCCACCACGACCTCTATGGGGGCCCCTCGGCTAGTGGAACACCTCCCCTCCTCCATGCCGCAGTCCAAATCCAAGATCTTAGTTTCTGTTTCGCTAGTTGTTTGGTTTGTAGGCGTTTTTTCTTGCCAACTCCCTTGATTCCCTTTCTCCCCCCCTCCCACCTCATTGTTGTCCACAGACTCCAGCCCACTTCCTCCCTTGCCCCTTCCACTAGTCACTAGTATCAAGGACAATACAAATAGGGGAATGGGGGACCACATGGGTAATAATAGTACACTTCAGTGAGATTGATAGTAATAAAGTGTAGTAAACGTCTCAGCTGTGACTGTTAGATAGTTCATAAAGTGCAAGAGTCTTAGAGTGCAAATACAATAGGCGTCACAGTTGCGTGCCACTAGGGCAACTCATAAAGTGCAAGGATCTTAAAGTGCAGCAACATCCAAGTCTGGCTCTGACGCTATCTAAAGTGCGGCATGGAGGGAAAGGGAGAGGGAGCGTAAGTGCTAGTTCGATTTAGCAGCAGAAGAGGCAGGCGCCTTAAAGTGCTATACTGAGTTCTTAGTTCTTGTCCATTGAGAGGAATGCATTTCCTCATGTACTGCTTAGCAAGTAAAGCTTTAAAGCTGTGTAAGAATATTGTGATCTTTTCAAACTGTTTCCAAGCTTCTGAAGATGCAATATTTGAGGGAGATTTCCTACCCTTCATATCTGCCAAGACAGATTCAAAGATGGCAGCAGTGATGAAGCAATCAGGCAAGTTGTGGTGGCACAGTCATCTTTAGGATGTCTCAGAGGATCAATTCAAAACATCAGGCCACTAAGCTGTTTAAAATAGCATCCAACTAATTGTTAGCTATGTGTGATATCCAGCAGAGGAGGCGAGAATGTGACAAAAAGTATGTGGGAGACACTTCAGAGTGTAAAGAAATGGTTCACAGAAATAAACAGAAAACTGTAGCAATTGTACTGGGCTTTAGCACAGCTGGTAAATCACCAGCAGCAATAAGTTCTACCAACAAGAAGGATGGGTAGAAGGGGGCTGTGGCATCAATACCCACATTCCAGAGAAGAAGAAGCAATGCCATCTCCTGCAAACAGGAGGGGATATAACTGTAGCGCCTTTGTCATGCTAGAGAGTGGCTGCACTAGAGTGCTAGCTATTTTAGGACATGGTTGGTCTTATAGTTCTGTGAAGATGCAGGGTCTTTGCAGTTGCATCCTGCTCTGACATCACTGTCTGACATCAAATGCATCCCTTTGTCATTTCTCCCAACACACACACAAAACAAGAAATTAATTTGTTTTAAGGAATAACATACTAAAATCTGATGCCAAGAAAGGCATAACGTGTTCTATTTTAAATTGGTTTGGTGGTACCTAGTGCATAGTCATCCAGGGCCATCTGCCAGGGATACTTTGTGCTTTTCCTGCATGGCAGAGGTTAGACTAGATGGCCCCTGTGGCCTCTTTCACCTCTGTGATTCTAGTGCTGCTGTAAAATAGATTTTGGGATTCTTGCCAATCAGTTTAACTTAGACATTCAAAGTAAACTATACATACTTCTGTGTCAAAACACATTTAGACAAGTATGCAGGAGAGATCTTTTTTTTGTGCCATGAAAACTAGCTTTCTGGTTATATTAAGCTATCTTTTTTTTTGTTTGAGGCACAGTGGGGGCAACTGTTGTGAGTTTCTTATTTCTTTTTCTTTTTTACTTCTAGAATTACAAATCCAGGATACTGTGATGGGAGCGCGTTCCAACCGCGGAGGCGGCGGCAAAATGGCGGCCGCGGCAGTAGTTGCAGCTGCGGCGCTCACGGCGGTGGTCTCGGCAGCAGCCCAGACAACAACTCAGCTAGCAGTCCAGCAGCCCAGGTGGCGGGCCGACGGATCCAGCGGTCGGTCAGGCACTCACCCGGTAAGGGATGCGGGTTATTGATGAAGGGAGCCAGCCGCGTTGTAATGGCGGCGCTCCCTTGCCTTCCTCCGCCTTCCTGGCCCTTTCTCCCGGCTCCTCGGCTTCCTCCAAGCTTTCACCAAGCTGCTTGGGCTCTGCGGGATCGTGGTGAATCCCGGTTTCTCGCCCTCCTTAATTGGGTGGTCGGCGGGGGGGGGGGGGTCCTCTAGGATTCCCTCGGATTGATCTCCTGGTCAGCGCACTCAGCGTTGTTGCTGCTGACCGCCATACCGGAACCGGAAGTCTCTTTGTAGCAGTCATGAAAATCATATGACCACCACTCCCAGCAGTTTTAGAAGTCCAGCAACTTTTGAAGGACTATGCGAGTCCTTCCCATGCGGTAGAGGCCACATGGAGTGCTGAACAATTTTCTGCCAGCTTGTGAGCCAGAATCTGATGAGTTTGAGAACAAAAACAACAGCACCCCTTCCCTCCCCTGACTGGGCCATAAGTGGAAGTCTGTAGTGTTTTTATTGTGTACTAGCTTGGGGACCCAGCAATGCCCAGGTTATTTGAAAAAGGCAGTTTCTTTTTGGATGTTAGGTTTTCTGTTTGGTGTGGGTGAACTACAATTCCAAGAATCATGGGTCAATCCCCCCAAATCCCTCCAGTATGTTTTGTTGGTCATGGGGGTTCTGTGTGTAAATGTGGTCCAGGAGCATTGTCAGTGGGGTCACAATGCTAGGTCTTAATACAGGGTGAACTACAATTTTCACCCTGCGGAGTCAGTCCCCTAACCCCCTCCATAATGTTCATGGTAACCTGCATTGTCAGTTTTGGGAGGGTCATGGGTGTCTCCTGCTCAGTGGGAACTATAGCCTGTTTGTGAAGGTGGGACTTTGTCTGTGTAAGCAGACACCCCTGTCACATACATATTACTTTTATTATGTGGATAGATAGACAGACAGAAATTAATGTAGAATTTACGCTCAGTTTCCCCTTAATCGGTTATTTCATTTTCAGCAATGAATGATAAACTGCTCTAGTGACCACATGGTGAAAAGGTGGACATAGAAATATTTGAAACAAAGTGTTCCAATGGTTACTATTAAGTTTGCTATCTCTCATAGAAATGCAACTTCCATGGGCAGACTGTTAGTACCCAAATGAAAAGGCTGTACCAAAATGATTATCAGTAGATTTGCAGGATATCATCTCAAATGGAACTGTTTCGGGAAAGAATGATTAACATGTAAAAAAAGACATACCTTTTATTAGCATAGACCTTCTTTTTGTATGCCAATCAGTTTTCCAGATGATCTGAAATAGCAGAGTGGTTTGTATGAATGGTATGAAAATGTATGCTACCTTGCAGATCTGCTGTGGCCATAGCAAGTTACATGCGGGAATTGCTGGTTACTAACCAACACAAGACCATGTATGTTTGCTAAGGTGTAAGTTCAATAACAGTAATTTCCATCTTAGAATATGTTCTCTTTTTGCTGTTAAACCTCCATTTCCATATTGTGAATGACTGTCTTAAATTCATGTAGAAATTGTCATCAAAATATTAGGCTTCTTAATTTCTGATGGATTTTAGAGTTATTTTTTCCAGCAGTTTTCTTTGGTTTCCACAAAGAACTGTAGTTTGTTGTTGTTGTTGTTTTAATAAAAAAGTACATATTACATTTGTCCCAGTTCTCAGTGACACTTTCCAATTTTGAAAACTGTTCTTTGGGAAGAAATTTAACTTTTCTTTTTTTTTCTGGGCAAATCTGCAGACCAGAGGCTAAGCATAATGGATCAGACCAAAGGAACAGAGTTCTTTATAAAAATGTGGGTCCAAATTTTGAGCCTCCCCATTCCTTAGTTCCAAATATGTGATCTTGCCTCAATAAAACGAATTAAAGCTTATTTTGTCTATCCTATTACCATCATGAATGCGTGTATAGAAAATATGCACACAAATCACAACCAATGAATAGACTCTTTTTGCACCTCAAAATGCAAATTTATCACAAATGTGAAAGTGAGAAAGCTGACCCTTTGTTGGTAGCTGTTGACTGCTGGTAGATGCTGAAAAGTCACATGGAGAACCCCTATGTGCCTCATATTATAGCCTGTGAGCTATAGGTTTCTCTTCCTTGCTTAAGAAGTGCATTAGCCTAAGCCAAACAAACAGGAGAAAAAAGGAAGGGAAAGCTATATACAAAAGACAAGTGGTATCTGATAGTGGCAATATTAAACTTCACTTACACTGAGTTCATTTATTTAAAACATATTCAGATTTGCTTAAACCAATAATTTCTTTATTCTCGGGGGCCAATGAATTAATATCAACTTGTGATTAAATGCAGCTAAGTTGCAAGGATGACGTGAAGGCTTAATGGGTCAATCTTCATGTCTACTCAAAAATAAAACCCACTGTGTTCAATGGAGCTTAGGATGGATCTACATGCCAGATAATCCAATTTGGAACTCCATTATATGGTTTAGATGGAATATAATGCAGTTCAATACAATTAAACTGCATTATACACAGACCACATAATACAGGTGCAAACTGCATTGCCTGGCACTGTAGACCCAGCTTCAACCTGCAAGTATATTTGATTACAACCAACTCACTTTTTTTTCCCACATTTATTAAAATGTCTTTTATGCCAGAGGAAATTTATCTCAGTCTAATAACCACTGAATCATAACTCTTCTCCACATCAGACACAGGTGCCTAAGGTATGAGTGGGAAATATGTATGCCAAACATTATACACCAAAATTATCTAAGAACTAACTCAAGTTGCTGCAACTCAGGTGTGGCTCCTGGTAAACAATGGGTAAAAATAATGTGAATTTCTTCTTTTTTGCTTCAGCCCCAATTCCTCATAAACTTTACACCATGCAACCAATTTAGTAAGAGTGATGGCCAAGGAAGAAAAAGTGAGAACTGTGTGTCTACAAGTCCCAGAAACCTTGTCTAGCATTGCTGGCTGGGGAGAATTCTGGGAATTGCAATTGAACAACTTCTGAAGGAAGTAAAACTGCACACTGAATTTTATTTCTGGGTTGGCTGTATAAGATTTTCATCACTAAAGAAAAAGTATCAAGAGGAATACAACCTTGTTCATAATGTGATTTTATTAAAGAAATTTACTCACATTCATAATTAATTCCCATTTCCTTTTGCACTAAGAAGCCCCCCTCCCCAAACAAACATACCCTTAAGGCAAAACCCACTGCCGAATGCGTTTTTGGCTACAAGCTCAACATTACACACTTTTAACTCTCCCAACCCAGAAAAAGCAAGCCTTGCTTTGCTTTTTTGAACATCAGTAAAGGTAACTGGCTAGATTCAAACCCAAATCTGAAAGACTTTCCTGGTGACAATCAATCTATTTGTGGCTCTGGAAGAGACAAAACCAGAGGACAAGCGTAGCCACGAGCCAGTCAAAGCTTATAGTTAACAGCCTCAATAGGCGACAGCTCCGGCACCTCTTCCTCTACTCACTCCACATTGGAGGTAGACAAATGTCCATTGGGACCTGAGTGGATATGTGCGCGTGGGCAAAATGAAAACACTCCCTACGTCTTGCATGGCTGTCAGCGCTGTTTCTGGGGGTCAAACCAACACACAGAGAGGGTGCAAGGCAAGCCATCATCTGATCAGGCATTCTCCAAACACAGTCTTAAAGGAGTTTAAGTACAGCAGGTGCAGGCAAACGTGGGCCCTCCAGGTATATTGGACTTCAACTCCCACCATTCCTAACAGCTCAGGCCCCTTCCTTAAGTGGCTGGGGGGGGGGGGGGGGAGGAAGGGTCCTAAGGCTGTTAGGAGTGATGGGAGTTGAAGTCCAAAACACCCAGAGAGCTAGCTGGTTGAAGTTTGCCTGTGCCTGAAGTACAGCCATAATTCCCAATTAACCAGAAGCCGAGTATTAGAATGGCATCTGTTGAGATACCTGTCTCTAACTAGCTCATCACACTAAAGAATGAATCCACTTCTGGGGCTTGTAGTTTAGGGAGGCGCCTTTAACAGCCTCACTAAACTACACACCCCTGAATTCTGCAGGAGGCAGAAATCGGATTTAAAGTGGATTCATTCCTGAGTGTGATGAGGTCCCTAGAAGAAGAAGAGGCAGTGCTTCTAACGCAACCCTCCCCCTTAGAGGCCTCCAACCTACACAAGGGCCGTCCAAAACAAACACTGCTTTGAAGCAGATTAGGAACAAGGACAACTCTCAATTAACAAGCAGTCTAGTATTAGATGATCTTGCTGCCGGGTCTCGTTCTGGGAGAAGAGGAGGGTGTGGTTTGCAAGGGCAAACTTGGGCCCTCCAGGTATTTTGGACTTCAATTCACACAATTCCTAACAGAAGGTAGGCTGTTAGGAAATGTGGGCGTTGAAGTCCAAAACACCTGGGGAGCTGGCTAACGTTTTCCTGTGCCTGAAGTACAGCCATAACTCCCATTTAACCAGAATGGCACCTGTTGCACTACTCATGAGGTGCCTCCGTCTCCTTTTGAAGAGCAAGGTTCCCCTTGGAGGCATCCACCCTACACAAGCATCCCCCAAACAAGCTGTGATTTGAAATGCATTAGGAACAATCACCATCCCCAATTAACAAGGGGTTTAGCATTCGGTGATCTTGCTGCCGAGTCTCTGGTTCCTGGAGGAGAGGAGGAGGCCGGTGTTCGGGGCTCTCCGGAAGGCCTCTGGTGAAACCGGGGTGGGGAATGGAGGCCTTGGGGGCGGGTGGGCCTGGCCCTGCCTGCCGGCCTTCCTTCTTCACTGGTGCGTGAAGCGGGGCGTCCTCTTCTCGACGAAGGCGTCCATGCCCTCCTGGCGGTCGCGGGTGGCGAAGGAGGCGTGGAAGAGGCGCTTCTCGAGGCGGCACCCCTCGGCCAGGCCCACCTCGAAGGCGGCGTTGACGGCCTCCTTGGCCATGGCGGCGGCCACCTGGGAGTTGCGGGCGATGCGCTCGGCGAGGGCCACGGCCTGCTCGAGGAGCTGGGCCTGCGGGCAGACGCGGCTGGCCAGCCCGGCCTGCACTGCCTCCTGGGCCGAGAGGCGCCGCGCGGAGAGCACCATCTCCATGGCCAGGGACTTGCCCACGGCGCGGACGAGGCGCTGCGTGCCCCCGGCGCCGGGCAGCGTGCCCAGCAGGATCTCGGGCTGCCCGAACTGCGCCTCCTCGCCGGCGTAGACCACGTCGCACATGAGCGCCAGCTCGCAGCCGCCGCCCAGCGCCACCCCGTTCACGGCCGCCACCACGGGCTTGCGCAGCCGCGCCAGACGGTCCCAGCCGGCCAGGAAGTCCTCGCGGTAGCACTCCGGGAAGCGCCGCCCGCGCATCTCCTTGATGTCGGCGCCTGCCGCGAAGGCCCGCCCGCGCCCCGTCAGCACCAGCGCGCCCACCGACGCCTCCGCCTCCAGCGCGCCCAGCGCCTCCGCCAGCTCCCGCATCAGCCCGTCGCACAGCGCGTTCAGCGCCTTCGGCCGGTTCAGCGCCACCACCGCCACGCTCCCCGACTCCCCGGCACGCTCCACCTCCACGAACTCGAACCGAGGCAGCGGCGGCGTCGCGGGGGACGACGAGCACAGCGAGGAGCGCGGCGGGGAAAGAGGGCAGGCCGCCCAGGGCCGCAGGCCCACCAGGCCCGAGCGCAGGAGCAGCAGGCGAGCGGACGCCATCTTGCTCAGAGGACGAAGGGGCCCGCCCTCAAGGGCGCCGCAGAAGGACTTCCGGTTCCCAAGCGGATAGGCGGAACGGCCGGAGAAAGACACAAACAAACACACAAGGGGCTCAAGAGACTCACTCTTAATACCGCTTAGGAAGACTTCCGGTTCCCAAGCGGATACGGGGAACGGCTGGAGAAAAACACAAACACACAAGGGGCTCAAGAGACTCATTCTTGATAGCGCTTCAGTAAGACTTCCGGTTTCCAAGCGGCAGCTGTAGAAAGAAAAGAACACACAGAGGGAACAGGGTGCTAAAGAGACTAAGTCTTAATAGCGCCACAAGAAGACTTCCGGTTCCCAAGCGGAGACACGGCCCATGTATAGGGAGAACGGCTGGAAAAAAGAAACAAACACACTGGGGGAAATAAGGTGCTAAAGAGACCTAGTCTTGATAGCGCCGCAGGGAGACTTCCGGTTCCCAAGCGGCGCTGCCGTCCATCTGTAGGGAGAACGGCTGGAGAAAGAAGCAACACCCAGGGTGCCAAAGAGAGTATTCATGGCGCTGGAGAAAGACTTCCTGTTCCCAAGCGAAGACAAGGCCCATGTATCGGGAGAACGGCTGGAGAAAGAAACAAACAAACGCACAGGGGGAAATAGGGTGCTAAAGAGGCTCAGACTTTTTTTGGGGGGGCGGGGTATAACCCATCCTTTACTCAAAGACTGTAGCTGTGTAACATTCCGTGTGTTTGGTCGTAGCACCTAAAACAATGGTTGCTAGGATGTGACAACTTAAATGCTCTGTGCAGAACTGTGTCCTTCACATAATAGAAGATATTATCTGCTTCGCACACATATCATTTGATAACTAATAAATGGATTTTCTTTGAAGTAACTGTGACGCCTACACTGCCTGCAGGAAATCAGACTTAGAAGTCTTTTTGAAAATTAAAATCCCTCTAAGTTACATAAGTCTCACAATCTTCAGTGTCCAACCTGAACTACTAAACATAATTATCCATAGAAAGCAGGCATTCAAATGTCATTAAGTAAAATTTATGTGGAAATAATATGCTATATTAATTTTATTTTATTTAAGAGGCTCAGTCTTGATAGTGCTGCAGAAGGACTTCCGGTTCTCAAGCGACGCCACGGTCATGGATAGGGTAGGTAGCTGGAGAAAGAAAGAAACGCACAGGGTGCTAAAGAGACCTAGTCTTGATAGCCCCGCGGAAAGACTTCCGGTTCCCAAGCAGCGGCGCCGCCCATGTATAGGGAGAACGGCTGGAGAAACAAACAAACAAACGCATAGGGGAATAGGGTGCTAAAGAGGCTCAGTCTGGATAGCGCCGCAGTATGACTTCCGGTTCCCAAGCGGTGGCGCGTGTTTTGGAAGGGGGAACGGCTGGAGAAAGAAACAAACGCACAGGTGGGGAGAGGGTGCTAAAGAGACCCAGTCTTGATTGCCCCGCAGAAGAACCTCTGGTTTCCAACCGGTGCCACGCTCCATGTATGGGGCAAAAGGTGGGATAGGGCTAGATTTGAAGAAAGTCACAGGGAGAAAAGGATACGTAGACTTCTCGACTAGCCAGAACTCTCAGTCGACTGGTAAGAATCGAAGAGATGATAAGAAAGAAGGGGAATAAGCTGGTCATGATTAATTATATCCAGCTTTCATCACACCCCAATTTGGACTCAGTGGGGCTCACGATAAATACGATTAAACTATTTGCAGTATTAATCCAAGACAAGGCCAAAAACCAATTTAAAACACGGTAGTTAAAAGAGGGTCCTTTTGGGTGGAGAAGCCCCAGCGCTCCCTCCACTCCCGCCCCTACTTTTCCGCGCTTTCGACTGGGATCCGGAAGTGAGGCGTGCTCTTGTTTCTCCCTCATCTCTTGGAAGTGAAAGTGGCTGTCAACCAGGCGGCGGAAGCGGCCGACGACGAACAGGAAACGGAAGTGTTTGTGTAGCTCAGGGAGGAAGTGTCTGCTGCCGGAGATGCTCCTCGGATCCCAGACCCGCTGAGAGGGGCGGCCGGCCAGCCAGCCAGCCAGCCAGCCAGCCGGGCAGGTGAGGCCGTGTGCGTCGTTCAGGGGGCGGAGTGTGCCTCGCAGCAGGCAAGCCGGCCGGGGCCTCCTGAGGGGCGCCTTCCCAGCCCCCGCGCAGCGTCTCTCCCTCGCGGAGGAGCAGGAGGGAGAGGGGCGCACAGCGAGCGGGGCTTGGGTGGCGCGCCTGCCTGATCGCTGCTGCGGCCTGCAACTTTGGGGCCTTGTTTACACGGCCTCAGGAGGAGGAACGCGCCTTGTTTGTTCTCCCTGGGTGGAAGAAAATGGGAGACACCCAAAGAAGGAAGAGGAAAACAAGCAGTGTGTTTTCTCCCTCCTCTCCCGTTCCTCTTCCACCTTTTTAGAGTGGCCTTTTTTCCCCTGCTTCCTCCAAGCAAGTGCCTCCCCTCTTTTGTTCCCTTATTATTATTGTCGCCATTGACTCCCAAACTCTAGACCTCCAAGTGTTTTGGACCTCAACTCCCAGAAGCCTCAGCTGCCTTGGCCAATGATCAGGGATTCTGGGAGCTGAAGTGCAAAGATAGCAGGAAGAACAGAGTTTGAAACATACTGAGGCCCTTCCACAAATAATAATAATAATAATAATAATAAATTTAGTTTTATACCCCGAGCCCTTCCACACATAATAATAACAACAACAGCAACAACTTTATTTTTATACCCCGCCAGCTATCTCCCCTAGGGGACTCGGGGCAGCTTACAAGGGACAAGCCCAAAAATTACAATTAAAGCACAATAGTAAAACACTTACCAATTAAAAACATTAGATAAACTAATACAACACAATTATAACCAACATAAGAGCAGTATGGCTGAGAAAAAATTCAATGAGTACTATCCATTTTACAGGAGCGCAAGGAAAGTGTAACAAACCAGTAGATTGGGCAGGAAGTAGTGTCATAAAACTTGTTAAGGTAGATCATATGAGGGCTGGAGGAAAGTGCAGAATTCAACAGGGACAGGGAAATTACTGGTGAGCTGCTTAATCGAAAGCACACCAGGACATCCAAGTTTTTAGTCGACTGCAGAAGGAGGACAAGGTGAGAGCCTGTCTGATCTCTCTAGGGAGAGAGTTCCAGAGTCCAGGGGCTACCACCGAGAAGGCTCTCCCCTCATCCTCACCAACCATGCTTGAGATGGCCCGGGGGGGGGGGGGGGGGAGAAAGCAGTGCCTCCCCAGATGGTCTCAAGGTACGCACTGGTTCATAGGGGAAGAGGCGATCACGAAGATAAGCAGTCCTCTGTATCCCAGAATATCAAGGAAGGAAATCCCACATCTGCTTTGAACTGGGGGCCCTTCCACACAGCCCTATATTGCAGAATATCAAGGCAAGAAATCCCACGTTATCTGAGCGTGGACTCAGAGAAGCCAATTCAAAGCAGATATCACAGGATTTTCTGCCTTGATATTCTGCAATATAGGGCTGTGTTGAAGGGCCTTCCATTATCTGAGTCCACACTCAGATAATGTGGGATTTTCTGCCTTGATATTCTGCGATATTGGTCTCTGTGGAAGGGCCCTGATTTACATGATAATGGAGTCTCAGTAGCTAATGCCATTACAATCTGAATCGCCTTCGTTTTGTTGGAAGTCAACTCCACACTGCCCAAGTCTGCAGTTGTCAATAAGGAACAGTTAGCTTTACTTACCCCCCTCCCCCGACTCCTGAATGTTAGGGCCCTTCCACACAGCCATATAACCCAGAACATTTGCTTTGAACTGGGGCCCCTTCCACATAGCTGAATAAAAGCCCACATTATCTGCTTTGAAGTGGAATGTATGGCAGTGTGGACTCAGATAACCCAGTTCAGAACGGATATTGTGGGATTTTGCTTTGATATATTCTGGGTTATATGGTTATATGGCTTTGTGGAAGGGTTCTGGGTTATCTGAGTCCACACTGCCATATATTCCAGTTTAAAGCAGATTATATGGGATTTTATTCAGCTGTGTGGAAGGGCATTCAGTTGGAATGTATCTGTTTTCTCTCTCTATCTCTCTCTTTCTGCTCCCATCCTGATTGCTGATGTAGAATGGATACTCTGTAGGTTGCATGCCTTTGGTTAAGACTTCTGCTTTTTCCATCTTTACACACAGACCTCTCTCATTGAAGAGATGTTGTGTTTGGAGGTTTTTCTTCTTGTTTTGGAACTTAGAAGTTATGGATTTATAGGGAAGCTTAGACCCAATTCTTTCCTATCAAGGAATGTAATTCTTATTTGTAAATAAACCTTTTTGGTAACTTTAAAGGTTGAGCTCTTTTATTTTTGCTTGCTAAGATCAAAATTGTTTTGCAACCACACATTTCACCTTTCTGCTTGCTGTGAGCAGACCGCTCAATTAAGTATCCTGTTTGTATTTTTGGATGTGCTGCTATTTTGGGGAAATTCCCTAAGACTTTAAAGAAACATTAACTAATGGATTTCTTGCATAAACAGTAAAAAGAAAACCCTCTTCAAAATGTGTGGAAATTATTTCTTACTGAAACTGTTTATCATTCACTATCAATACACATTTTTCTTCATGCTGTGATATATACTGTTATTGGGTTACATTTGGGAGATGAAGCAAAAAGGAAAGAAGGATAATATTAGGAGTGAGAGCCAGGTTTTCAGCATTGGACCGTGGCTGCATTTACAATGCAGTTTGACACCACTTTAGCAGTCATGTCTCACAGCTATTCTTTTTCTCTGTCAAAACATGTTAGTGCTTCACCAAACTACAAATCCCAGGATCCCATAGCATCGAGCCATGGCAATTAAAGTGGTTTCAAAACCCATTCGTTCTACAGTGTGGATGAACCGTAAAACTCTGGAGACGAAGGGCTCTTCCACACAGCCATATAACCCAGAATATCAAAGCAGAAAATCTCACAATATCTGCTTGGAACTGGGTTGTCTGAGTCCACACTGTCATATATTCCACTTCAAAGCAGGAAATGTGGGATTTTCTTCAGCTGTGTGGAAGGGACCTAAGATTGAATCCTGGAAACCCACTGGGTGACTTTGGAGAAGACATATTATCTCAGCCTGAGGGCCCTTCCGGACAGGTGAAAAATCCAAGGGGAAGTGGGATTTTAAATCCCAGTTCCTCTTGGAATTGAAGCCACACAGCTGGCCTAAACCCCTGGATTTTGCAGGGGTGCTGTCCGAGATCAGCAGGGGTGGACATGAACACTGCCAGCCTCCCCATCCCATCCCCTCATTTTCCCCTGCACCTACCTGGAGAAGATCACTCCAACAAGGCCTAAAGCCTTTCTCATTCCTCCCCCCAGCCTTGGAAGAGCCGAAAGAGAGTTTTTGGTAGGGAAGGGGGGATTTCTCCTCTAAGCCCCCCGTTGGTTCTTCCAGGAGGAGGAAAAAAGGCAAAGACTTCAGGCCTGCATCTGATTAAGGTTCCGGTAAGTTGAGAGGGAAAAGGGAGTCAGGTTGGGAGTCCAAACAGGAGAGTGGGTGGCAAAACGCGTGTTTTCCATGCCTGCACGAATTCTTCTTGCATTTTGGCTAAACATAGTTTAGCCACCCTCTCCCCTTTTAACCCAGTTTAACCTGGGTTATAATGTATGTGTGGAAGGGCCCTGAAAGGGAGACAAAGGTAAATCTCTCCTTAACAATTCTTGCCAGGAAACACCCATGATAGGCTAACATTAGGATCACTGTGTGTCAGAACCTCAAAGACACAACAGAAATAATCATGTTAAGAATAAAATAATAGATGTTTCAGCCAAATGTAACAAAACATAGATTCCATAGCATTGAGCTATGGCAGTTAAAATTGTGTCACACTGCATTCGTTCTATAGTGTAGAACTATTTTTCTTATGTGGTTTAAGAAGGAGAAAACCCACAAGTGATAATAATCCAGAGATATGGTAATATTTCAAACATATTTCTTGTTTCCTAAAATTTACATTTTTAGCAGATCTTGCATTATCTTGTATACTTCAATTCTAATGCACTCCCACCCATAGAAACATCTCTAAAAATAGGGTGCATCTTTGAATCATGGGTGATTTATATATACATTTATATTTATGTACAAATAATTGCCTTTTCTGTTGGTGCTGCTGAAATTTGTGTGCATCTTACAATCGATGGTGTCTTAGAACCAATGAAATATGATTATTTGATATTAACTTGAACTTTATTAGCTTGTTGCAACATTGTCCCCCTGTTATCTTTTTCAGTTCCTTGAATCTGCCAACCAGCACTGACCTCTTTAAACAGCACACATCGCACAATATGGGGCCTAGACGGAAAAATGTGAAAGTGTGTTCCACAAGCAGGGAAGGCCCCATGTACATTAAAGCTGCTGAACTGAAGGACTATATGAACCAGCTTTCACATGAAGTGCTTTGCCATATATTTAGGTAGGTCCGAATTTGTCTTTTCTGTTGCTTATGGTATTGCATGCTATTCATTATAGTATCTGATGAGAAAATTGAAACTGTCCTTTATCAAAAGCACGCCTTTTATTAGAAAGGATGTCCCAGTTTGAAGGTTGAAAAGCCAAAACATCCTGCATTTTGGGGTATGGAGCTTTCATAAAAGGAATGTTGTGCATGATGTAATTTATGGATGTGAGCAATATGATTCTGTGATTCTACTGTATAATATGCTAATATTACAGAGAGATACATGTCTAAGTTAAGAGGAATCAATATTTTCATTTGGCGGTTAGACAGACCCGACATGGGTTAATAATAGTTATTGCCAACCCTGAATATCATTGATTTTGATTATTCTTTATTGCTGTTTTGAAAACTTGCAACACTATCTCTGATTAAGCTACACATTGCATTTGCAGTGATTTGCAGTACAGCTTGGTTATTGATTTATATATTTAATTCTTGGTATTTTTATTTGAAAAGAAGATTGAAGCCAGATAACATAATATAGACAAACTTGCAGGGTAGTTCCTGTCACGACTACAGCTTGTTTAGCCCAAAAGAAAGAAAAAACTGGCATAGAATGGAGCTGTTCTAGTTGTAGAATTTTCTTTCCTCTTATCCCCTTTGAGCCCTTTCATGTAGTATTCAAAACTATAACAAATGTTTTGTGGAAAACAAATTTAGGAGACGTATGCTTTAGGCTGGGTGCTTTTCACAAGCATGGTTATTCATTCAGTTCTGCTGATTAGATGTAGTATTAAAACCTAATTTTCTAAATGAAAGCAGTAGCCCTGAAAATAATAGAAATTTGGTGTATGAGTAGATATGAGCTTTGAAGGATTGGTCCTTGCTTTTTACCTGATTGTAAAATAAAATAAGTTGCTGTGAGTTTTCCGGGCTGTAAAATAATTGTTTTCATAAGTCAGAATTGACTTAGAAGACACACAACAACAAAATAGAGGGAAGCAGGCTATAGTGAGCAGACAGCCCCCTGTTGCAGAAACTCCTCTAGCTGTCAGTCTGATTCTGGGCACAATTCAAAGTGCTGGTTATGAGCTTTAAAGCCTTAGACTTTTCATGTCCAGGTTATTTGGCTGATTGCATCCCCTTGTACGAACCTGCCCGGGCCCTGAGACTTTCAGGAGGGGCCCTTCTCTAGGTCCCACCTCCATCTCAAGCTCGGTTGGTGGAAAGGAGAGAGTCCCCCTTCGGGGGTAGAGAAGGGCAAGATACAAATATTTTAAAGTAGGCCTTCTTTCTCAGTGACGGCCCCTCAACTCTGGAACACCCTTTTTTACCAGGGAGCCAGAAAGGCCACCTCCTTTCTGTCCTTCTGGTGGAAGATTGAAACCTTTTTATTCAGGCAGGATTTTAAAGAAGAAGGTTTTAAATATGTCAGGGGTTGCTGTAGTTTTATGAACTTGTTTTAACATGTTTTAACGGTTTTTAACTGGGGTTTTTAAAATACTGTGTACATTTAATATTTATTAAATATATTTAATACATTTTATTTAATGTTTATTTTATGTTTGCATGTTAGTATATTTTAAAATGTATGTTAATGCTTTTATATTAAGTCACTTTGAGTCTTCTTTGGGAGCGATAAAGCATATTATTATTATTATTATTATTATTATTTTGAGAAATCTAGATTGTACAAAAGCATCCACTTAAATTTTATGATGCTGTAAAATCCAGCATTAGTTGCAACTGCATTATTTACTGACAGCTGTATGAGTTCCTTTAACTGTTGTATTACAGTGATCTTGTTTGTTACTAGCTTGCTCTATCTATACAGTCCTCTTTTATTCACTGTGAGTTTTCCCCATACTCTGGATTGTGTATGGATGAGTGTGGTACTATCTAGATTATTATTTGGTAGAAGAGGAAATACAATAGCTGCAGATTTGTTCTATTTCTTTCCCTACCCAAAGATACCTTCCCCTGCAGGATATCATGTGTATGGAATGCCTCTCACGAAAGTTAAAGGAAGCAGTTACTTTGTACTTAAGAGTGGTGAAGGTGGTGGATCTCTGTGCAGGCCGATGGTGGGAGTACATGCCTACTGGTAAGTATTGTTCCTAACGCTGCTGCACTGCGACCTAATTTGTGTTGAACTGTTTCAATTAATTGCCTTGAAAGAGATATTTAGTGACAAATGTGGAATGAATTGTCCTGAATGCATGCATGTATTGTCTATTTCTCCCAATGAATGGGATAAACAGTGCTTATGTGGAACAAAATGCTAGTTCTTATATGGTACACATGCATTAATATTTGTGCACTAATATTTCTGAAGCCAGAGGTGAGAAACTGAAGTCTGTTTCCTGAAGTCTGACCATTTAATTCTTTTTTCTATATTTTATTTCTAACTAATAACAAGCTATAACTATTACATGTCAAAGATATAAATATGCAACACTTAAGCAAAAGAATGGGGATGCACCATAGAGATAAACTTGCTTTTGATTATAGCATTTGAGGAAAGTGCTTGAAAGCATTGCAGAATTTAAGGAAAACTGAAGAAAGTTGCCCTAGAATAATAGGGAGGAGAGTACATGAAAAGAAAAACAAAAAGACTAAATGATCTATGGACCTAGTGATTGTACTCTGTTATTAGGAAAAAATTGACAGTATAATATGCATGTGTATATTATGTTTTCCATTAATATTCCTATATCTCCAACCAAAAAAAGATTAGTATCTCTGTGTGAATGATATTCTTAATTTCTAGTTTAATCCACAGAGTGTAAAGATGCATAAGGTTGGATTATTAGTTCCTCCTCTTACTGTGGTTTCAGTTAAAAAATCAGTCTTACCCTCTTATATGTGTCACAGTTCTTCTTTTTACCTTAACAGTGGAATCTTTTTTCTGTGGTTCTGAAGCCTTGCCTCCAAGACGCAGAGTTATTAAATTAAGTCAGTAGTTCACAATCTGGAGTCCTCCAGGTGTTTTGAACTCTGGCTCCCAAAATTCCTAGCCTTTGGACAAACTGGCTAGGGCTTTGGGGAGTTGAATGATCACAGTTTGTGCACCACTCAATTAAGTACATTGTTCATCTCCTTTATTTTTATAATCATGAGTTTCTATGATCAAATAAAACATAATGGTAGTCCTTGTACCGCTGAGCCCAACACTTTACTTTCTGTGAACCAAAATATTAATCTCCCCTCAAACTCAAAAGGTAAGATGTCTTATCTTGCCAGGATTCACAGATTCCAGCTTCCTAACCTTGCTGAAGAAAATGCCAGACATTGAGCAACTGTATGGGCTCCATCCAAGGCACCTTGACCGGCGCAGAGTTCGTGGCTATGAAGCATTCAGCATTCCAGGAGTTTTAGAAGCCTTGCAGACCTGCCCTAATCTACTAGTAAGTTTTTTTTAATCCAAAACATGGGATGTATTTGTTAGCCATGGTCCTTTATAAAACTTTTTTTTGGGGGGGAGAGGGCGAGAATGATGGGGGCTTTGCTCAAGATAAGTACTCTTTTGTTTATGTTTGACGATGCGGTTTTCCCTTTACTTGGTTCTGTTTTCTTGCTTGTAGGGAGTTGAAACTTCCCATTTGGAACTTGTAGAAGCCATTTGGACATACATGCCACAAGTTCATATTCTAGGGAAGTTTCGTAATCGTAACGGTGCCTTCCCAATTCCACCTGAAAACAAACTCAAAATACCAATAGGAGCTAAAATCCAGACTTTGCACTTAGTAGGTAAGCATCATTGTGATGTATTTCTCTCAGTTACTAAAGGATTCAACATTTTTCAAGATATTAAATTAAAATGGTGGTTATTTCATTTTTTCTTGATTTGCTAGATAAAAAGATGAGTGACTATTCATGTTGTTAGGAAGAATAATTTTTTTAAAAAGTTTCAGTGCTATTTTGGTTTGAAGTCACAGCATGCTAAGATTACTACAGAACTTTTATTTACAGTGCTTGTCAAAGAATTCACTGTTCGGACTTAACTTCCTGTTTTGTTTCTGCTATTTTAGGCGTTAATGTCCCTGACATTCCTTGCATCCCAATGTTGAGGCACCTGTATCTGAAATGGGTGAGACTCACCAAACCACAGCCTTTTAAGGATTTCCTTTGCATCAGCTTACGCACTTTTGTCATGAGAAATTGTGCAGGTACGATAGCAGTTTTATGGCAAACTGCCATATTTACTTGAGTATAGCTTGTTACTGATTGTAATGTGCACCTCACTTTTAGCTATGTAATTTAGTCAAAAAGGGTGAGCATATATTCTAGTAAATATGGTATTCGAAAAGGGGGATTGGAGTGGGACAGAAATAATGTTCAGTGGGAAATCAAAGTCTGTGTTTAAAGCAAATCTGTAACAACATTGCATGTTTTTGAATATATGCAGTATTTATCCCTTCCCAGTAAATCAGTATAGCATTATATGTTATCAGTTATGACAACTGTCATTTGTATTGTGTTGACTGATATAAATGTGTTAAATAGGCTTGTGTATGGATTTGTTTTGGACGATTGCCTTCAGCTTGTTCGGCTTGTTTGGAATCCCGTAATGGCATGGGCAGCCTTTTTTTTACCAGCTGCAACAGAACAGTTGCTGTCGAAAACCAGCTGCTTTTGCTTTCTTTCAGTTACATGTGGAGTGCGGGGAGTGAGCTAGCCACTAGAAGGAAAAGGATCCCAGGAAGCAAGGTTTCTTAAGCCCTCCCTTCTCTTTTGATTTGGAAACAGAAAGGAGATTGAAGCATGAGGGGGTAAGGCTGCAGTTCTCCTTTCCGGGACCTCCAAATCAAGAGAGAAGGCAGAGCCCAGGGTAGGATATCCTTTCCTTCCACACTAAAGAATGAATTTTTGCCTTCCACACTAGAGAAGGACATTTTCTCCTATACATTTCCTATTTTCAGCCATTTTTCAATTGTAGAAAAATAGGGTTGTGGAGTGAAACAACTTTCTGTATGTGCATTCCCATTGTGGGCAAATGATCACACAGTTTTTCTGTGTGAATATAGATGTTTGCAAAGTCTCCTTTTATGGCACACTTCCATATTTACTTGAGTATAACTTGCCATTGATTGTAATGTGCACTTTTGTATTGCGCTTTTTAAACTTGACTAAATGGGGTATTGCTAGCTGCCTTGAGTCCCCACAGGGAGAAAAGTGAGGTATAAAAACAATTATTAACAGTAATGTCATCTAGCACAGTAATTTCCAATGCCTCTGGGTACTTAGACATTGGACTCCCAGGAACCTTTGATGCGCTGACTAGAGATTCTGGAATCTTAAATCTTAGCACCTGAGGACACACAAGAGCATGTAGAATGGAAATGCCCCAATATCTTATAATGTCTACTGTACCTACTAGCCATGAATACACGTGAATCCTGATATTTGGAAATTTTTATTCTGTAGGACCCACAAACTCATTGAAGTACGTACCATTAGTCACAGGCTTGGCTTCAGCTCGAAATCTGGAGCATCTAGAATTAGTTCGAGTTCCCTTCCTTGGAGGTCTTATTCAGCATGTTGTAGAGGACAGCTGGAGATCTGGTATGCAACCTCTTACTTGGAAATGAAAATAGTATATCGTTTATAAACTTGAATTGTTTCCTCTTCATTGTTCGTTCATTCTCGAGAATATTGCATTGGCTCATTTCCAAAATTTTGATATTGTTTCAAAATGTGCTTCAGTTCTCCGAAAGCTCGAGAAAGCAGTAAGGAAATTTGAATATCACCTAATCATTCTTTTGAACCAATATCATAAATTTTAAAATGCTTAAGACATGCCTTTGTCTACGTGAAGAACCAAAGGCAGTTTTACCGTTGCTCCTGGTGTGCCCATTTTATATTCACTGTGATGGATGCCCAAGCCTTGGAATGTGCTTTCCTCAAAGTCATTGCTACAACTCCATCATCAAGCAACGCTTATCAACTATTACCTAAAACTCCTGGTTGTCTGGTGACTGTGGTTTTATTCTCCAAGAGTCACAGTGAAGGTAGACTCTTTCCAGATGTAATCCATCTATTGTAAAAGAGAAGCAGGGTGAGGGTGGAAAAATTAAATTGTGTAGGCATCATCTATATCTGTACAAATGTAAATAGCACCCTAAGGTACAGTAAGCTCTTGATCAGGTAAAAGATTGAGTACCGGATAAAGGTACCTTGCTTTGCTGCACCTATAGCAAGTACTATCAAATTACATTTTACTATTTGATTGATCTATGAACTTATGGGAAGTACGCTTATACTTGTAATGAGTGAATGTTGGTGTCTTGTAAACTGTGAGCATAGCATAAGCATAGTTGCTGACAGCTGCTTCCCAATTTGTGCATCCAGTATCTAGACTTAGGTTTAGTGCATGCTTCAAATATTCATTACTAATGAAGTCTCTCAATGTAGCAGTTTGTCTATATAAAATGAGCACTTTTGTTGCCACTGAGATTCCCGTCTGATCAAGAAATAGTACTACAGCATTGACTAGCATCTCTAATACTTCTTTAGCCCTGAATGTCCTTTACTATAATGAATCATTTTGTCTTATATGGGAGGAAGTTTTAGGATTTCACTGTTATTAACCCTAGTAATTATATGCACAGTTCTTCTGGGGAGCCTTACCACTGTTCCTAAAACATGTGCTTTCTCCCCTTGATTTTCTATCCATCAGGGGGCTTCAGAAATTTGCACACTATAGTTCTGGGAGCTTGCAAGAATGCTCTGGAAGTGGACCTTGGCTACCTCATTATAACAGCTGCACGAAGGTACTTATAGCATCTTAGTCATCTTGCATTTCATTTTACTTGTAAATGCCTCACTGTGGTGTTTGCTTCTAAAGCATACTGAAGTACCTCTGCATTATATTAGTAGGGAATTCATTACAGTGCTGCTTGTTTGGCAATGTCTTGTTTTACAGCACCACATATTGCTCATAATCTTGCTGACAAAGAATGTTATTTTTTAAAATTTATCACTTGCAAAGCATTACCTCATAAATGACTGCACCTATCTGATTTGCTGGTGAAAGTGCCTCTGCAGATGTTCCTCTTTCAAAATGGGTTCTAACATCTACATATAGTATATTAGGAAGTAGCTGTTAGAAAGTAGCTGTTAGTGTGAGCTTTTCACATTTTCTTTTGCCTCTGTTCAGGTTGCATGAAGTACGAATCCAGCCTTCCCTTACCAAAGATGGAGTGTTCTCTGCACTGAAAATGGCAGAATTGGAGTTTCCACAATTTGAAACCCTACATCTTGGATATGTTGATGAGTTTTTGCTGCAGTGTATGAAATCCTTCCATTTTCCTTTGGGTTACCTATCAGCTGTTAGGGTAGATCTGGATTTTATCTGTCTATATGCTTCGAATCTTAAAGATTGTGCAGATGCTATTCACAATGTCCAAACAGCTTAGTTTTCTCCTGCTGATCTATGAAAATCACTGCATATGGGTTAGGCATGATTTAAATAGTGTGTATGCACATCACCATGCCACTTTTAGATTTCCTGGGATCACCAGTAACTAGTGTGCAAATTCACCACATTTTTGGAAGTTCTCATGTGAGAATTAAATCCAAATCCACAGACATGAACATAGATAACATGCAGAGATCTTGTTGCAGATAAATGTTGGAAGTCCCCCAAGAGCCTTAGTTCATATTCAAGAGTCATCATTCATTTCTCCTTTCTTTCTTGCTTCTTGCATGTAGTCATTTCTTTTTCCCAGGAACCAAAATAAGTCAATGGTGGGGAAATAACCACAGGCTCATCTCTATATTGCCCAAAACATAGACCAACCCTATAGTCTTAAGGTTGGCTCTCCGTCTGTATCTTTGTCAGGAAATGGGAAGCATTGTGGCAGCTACCTGTTTTTCTTTGGGTGCAGCAGCAGCAGCAAGAGAATAGGCAGAAGAAGGCATATGGGTTTGTCACTTGACAGCTCAGCGAAAGCTTCGTCAGAGATGAGCAGCAAATGTTATAACTATCCTATGTGCTTGGAGGGGTTTCATGTCAGTTGACAAGCTAGGAGGTTGGTTGCCATATCTGCTTCATTCCCCACATCTTTCCACTCCCAGCACTGAAATCCACACTGCCTGAAAGATCATTTCAACTTTGTTAATCCCTCTAAAGCAGTGTGACAAGAAAATATAAAATGCAGTCGAGGGGTAGATGGGAGCCAGCCTCTTGATTGCAACCATTTTTCACTCTAAAAAGGTTCACTTCAGTTTGAGTTTTACTGGGAAGAATGCATCTGCTTTAAAAAAAAAGTGATTTGGGGGACAGGGAAGGATCATTTTCAATCAGAAGTAGTAGGTTCTAAACTGACCTCGAACTCCACCACTTCATAGAACTAATTTGACTCTTATAGTGATGTTCACTTCCCTCCTGGTATAATCTTAAAATGAAGATGTGATATGACAGAGCTTCTGGATAAGACTATAATATAAGTGATAGCCGAATACATGTTCTCATTTGTATAGACCAATGCCTAAGCTGACTTTGCAACTGTCCAAATACCCTGGGCTTTTGCTTCCTTGTACACATTACTTTCCTTGCTGTTTCTACCTGTGAGAACCAGCACATCACCTCCATTTCTCATTGATAGCATTGGGCATTCTTATTCTTATTGCTGTAGAAATAATAAAAAGAGCAAATTTCTAAATCACTTCCTGCCTGTGTTTAGGTAAAATGATCAATGCTGACCTAGTGAAGTATGGCTTGGCAGATGTGGTTGAAAATCCAGGCATCATCACAGACATTGGAATGAAAGCAGTGAATGAGGTCTTCTCTTCAATTAAATACCTTGTCATATACAACTGCCCACATCTACATAATCCAAGCAGTTGGATCACAGGTATGATCTCCACAAAGACTTATTGAAAGCCCTCAGGAAGATGTATTCATTCCTAAATTAAGTTGTTTACTACAAGTGCTGGTAACCTGACTTTATCCTAGATAATGGCTACAATGAAACGGAGGGTTTTTTTATACCAAAAGAAGTACCATATTTTCCATATTTTCCGGGCATATTTTTATACCATATGCCCCAAACTTATATGTACCAAAGTTTGGGGCATATAATCTGACCCCCAACTTTTCCAGTTAAAATACAGAGTTTGGGATATACTCGCTGTATAAGACTACCCCTCTTCCAACGCACGCCAAATAAAATTTTTTTAAAAAATCAGATTTGTTTTCAACATGGTAATTTTCCTATTACCTTACTTTTCTGCCTCTCAGATCTCGCACATGCGTGCCTGCAACACTTCACTGCAGTCTTCAGGAGTGAGATCTGAGAGGCAGAGAAGGAGGTACGGCAATAGGATACCAGGCCAGATGGGTGAAAGAGGCATGTTTCTTCTGCGTGGTACTGTGAAATCCACACCTGTGGTATTTCCCTGCGTCCACGCAGCTGACTCGGATCTTTCTTGAAAGCTTTTCCTAATTAGGGACTCCAGCCCCGCCCATCTACTCCTAATAAAGCCAGGCAGCGGGGCTTGGAGCCTTAATTCCTTTTGTCCGCGAAAGCAGCAACAACTCGGTGTTCTCTCCTAAAAACAACTATTGGTTTGACTCAAGGACTCCAGTTTGACTACTCTAACAGACAGCAATTCCAACTTGTGTTCTGGGACCTTTGTTTATCCTATTCAGGCCACCATGGCATTTTCTTTGAAATGTATGGCTTATGGGGGGAAGTTGCTCCAGAGTGACTCCCACCCCCTTTGTGTTTCTTGCTAGTGGGAGGACAAACCCACTCCCTCCCTCTAAAAAAAAAAAAGAAAAAAAGAAAGAAAAGGAATTAAAAAAAAATGCCGTGTCCTCTGAGGCGCAGGCTTTTTTGCCTTTGGCAATGGGCAGTAACTTACCTTCTTTTTCTTCTGTTCCCCTCGCTCAGAAAGCAGGAGGGAAGAAGACTTTTACCAGCCTACCACCCCTTACAGACCCAGGAACTGGTAGAGCTTGTGGCAACAAACTGCCACTGTGGCTTTGTGCCAATAACTTTGTTTTGGGTTGCAGCCACGCCTCTCAGCTGTCTCTGTTTTTTAAGGACAGCTTGCTCTCACTGCCCGTGCTTTCCCTGCCCCATTTACCCCAGCAGGCAGTGGACGCTGCTACGATCCCTGCCATGCTTTTGCCCCCCTCAGGGGAGGGGAGGCTCAAGGCAGCCACGCCACCTGTGTGAGTGATGGCTAGCCAAGGCTTGCCTCCACGCCCATGGCATATAACGCCTTGGAGGGGCCTTCGGGTTGCAACAATTCCTGCCATGCTTTTGCCCCCCTCAGGGGAGGGGAGGCTCAAGGCAGCCACGCCACCTGTGTGAGTGATGGCTGCCAAGGCTTTGGGTCTAAGCCCATGGAATATAACTCCTTGGAGGGGCCTTCGGGCTACTATCCTCCCTCTGCATCATGCTGCCTGGGAGCTTCAGTGACGGCTCAGAATGTAAGTACTGTGTCTTTTGGGCCCCATCTCCACTTGGTCCATGCCTCAACAGGTAGGTTGCTACTATTTTGAATAGGCACAAACTGCACCCTCCTTTCCTTCTCAAGGATTTGGAGTCCCTTCTTTTGGTTTTCAGGAGTTTAATAAGACTTTTTCCTAAGCTCATTCTGGTGCTTCCTTTCAGCTGCAACCAGTCAATGAGTCTGATGTAGATTCTGACTCCTATGAGTAGCAGATTTCTCCTACTCTTGAGGAGGACTTTTCCATCCCAGCTTCCATAAGGGATGTGTTACCTAATTTTTCCTCCTTGATTGCTTAGAGGATCTGCTTTTCTCAGTTGAGCAACAGCAGAAACAAGCTCCAAGTACAGTTCTCCCAGTTCTCCCAGCACTTCCATACTTGCTTAAGCTTGGAGAAAAACAAAAGGCAACTCCTGTATCTGTGCTGGAATTTCTAAGTTTGTAAATGCACTTTACAGCATAGGCACCTCTTCAACAGAGTGGTTAGTTAAGCCTACTAAACTGAACTTTATTGTGGTCAAAGTTGTTTAATCCAAGAAAGCGAAGGCACCTCAAGTCAGTCCACTGTGATAAGAAGATCCACCCCACTGCTAGCCTACTCACTTGCATGATTCATTACCATGCTTGTATGGCAGCCTATCAGGTGCTCTTGTGGCATAGCTCAGCACTTTATTTGGATCTCCTTCCCCTACAACATCAACAGATCCTAAGGGCTTTCTGTCAGTAAGCTCTCACCTTAGCTTCTCATCAGAAAGCTATGGCTAAGCACAGCACCGATACAGTACTAAAGGTGTTTGCTGCTGTTGCAGCAGCCATCCACCAGCATGGTTGGCTGAGATCCTCTACCCTCTCCAAAGAAGGCAGAGCAATGGCAGAATAACTGCCCATGGCAGAACATAGTCTGTTTCATCCTGATACAGACCCTCATTTCAAAAGTACGCACAAGATTTGACAGGCTGCTTCTAAGTTTGGCTTTTTACCACAATCTAGCCTAGATTGTGGTGGCCAGCCCCTCAGCTTAATTATCATCAACCTTCATGACCTGCTTCCTTCAGTCCTCAGCAGGGCCAGAACTCTAGGGCCTCTGTAGCTGGGAGACTTAATTTTTCCACCAGGGGTGACAACAAACTAAAGGGAAAGAAGAAGATCAGGGCCAACAGTGTTTTTAGCATGCATTTTCTCTTCTTTAATAGCCTCCAACCCTTCAGCTCCAGTTTTTGGCGCTCCACCTCATCATTTTTAGATGCATGGCATTAGATCACTTCTCACTCATGGGTGTTGGTGATTACAGAGCATGTTTATGCAATTTAATTTCTCAAACTGTCCCCAGTAGGGACTCTACGGGCCACTCCTCCTCCTGTGTTATAGTAGGAGGTAATTACTTTGTTTCAAAAGGAGCAGTAGCTTCTTTACATCTTTCTATGTTTCCTTCTTTTCCCTTTTCCCCAAATACTTTTTGGTTTCCAAGAAAGGCAGTGGGCTTTGGCCAGTTTTGGACCTTAGAGGACTTTATGCATATATTGCATATTGCAAATTTCAGATGTTGTCATTACCAACCATCCTCCCTCTGTTATCCAGCAAGACATGGTTCAGTAGCATTGATTTGAAGGATGCCTATTTTCATGTGGTGATTAGACCACAAGACAGTAGATTTTTGTCACTTTTTACTAGCAGTCAGGCCTTTTCATTTCAAGTTCTTCATTATGGTATCTCCACAGCTCCACAGGTGTTACTAAGGAGATGGCTGTATGCCGGCTCATCCCTGGGTGCACGGGGTGGTAGTTTGCCCCTATATTGATGGCTGGTTGTTGGTGCACAGTTCTGTGAGTATCTACAGAGGAACATTCACTTTACTCTGTCTTTATAGCAGGAGCTTGGTCTTTTTATCAACAAGGTAAAATCTCTTCTTCAGCCTATCCAAACAACCAATTCATTGGGCCTGTATTGGACTCTTGGCATGCAAGGGCCTTCAGACAGGTTTCTGACTCTGCATTCATTAGCTCTTTGAGTCTGGAAGAAGCCATACATCCATGCCAGGGATGTCCAGTGCCTTTTGGGACACATGGCATTCACCACAGCTGCCACTCCTTTCTCCTGTTTGCACCTTCGGCCTCTCCAGAATTGGTTTCTTCGGGCACTTCATCCCATGCAGGATGAGCCCAATGAATGTCTCAATGTCCCTTTAGCCATCCACCGGTCTATCAACTAGTGGACTCATCGCTCCAATCTCTGTGTGGGCGATGTTAGCAACAGACACTTCCCTCTCAGAGTGGTGAGCTCGCCTCAAGGGTCACACCATCCATGGTCCTTGGGCGGCCCTAGAGGGCATAGAGCACATCAACTATTTGGAGTTACTTGCAGTAGAAATGGCACTGCACCTTATCTGTCATTTGCTCATGGACAGTATTGTCCAGCTTACCACCACCACCACAATTGTGATTTGCTTGCCCTCATCAGAATCTGGGACTGGTATACCATAACCATCAGTGCCATTCATCAAGAACTCTCTTGCTGGCTCCCTCAGTCAGACAGTTTATAATGACCACTAATGGTCCCTTCATCCTTCCCAGGGATGGGAACTCTTTGTCAGATGGCAAACTCCCCTTCTGGACTTGTTTGCCTCTCCCGCCAACATGAAGTGCCAGTTCTTTGGAGCACGTCTTACCTCCACCAGACAGGCTGTTGGGAGATGCCTTCCTCCTGGATTGGACATCCGCCCTCCTGTACATCTTTCCACTACTGCCACTGCTGTCCAGAGTGGTCTCTCGTCTTCAAGCAGAGCAGGTAGATTGCATTCTCATCACACCATGGTGGCCCCGCCAGCCATGGTTTGTCACTCTGCTCCAACTTGCAGGCAGCTGTTACATTCAGTTGCCACTCAGACCAGACTTGCTGACTATGGGCAACAGCCCAGTCCCGTACTCCCAGGTCACTCAGTTCCGGTTGACGGCGTGGCAGATCCAGCCTCAGCCCTCTCTCAACCAGTAAAGAGCAGTTTGGACCTTGCCCTGAGACCTGCCACTAAACATTCTTACATTTATAAGTGGTGTCATTTTTGCATTTTTTCACAAAAGCAAGGAGTTCAGCCTCTGTCTGCTTCCACTTCCCTCCTCCTGGATTTTTTGATTTTTCTGTCAGATTCAGGACTCTCATTAACATTCTTGAAGGTCAATCTGGCAAATATAGATTCGTTTAGAAGTGAGCATTCTCTTCCCTCTCCTTTATCCG